TCTGTTTATTTTTGAGAGAGAGAAAACCAGAGAGAGTGGGGGAGGGGCAGAGAGAGAGGGAGACACAGAATCCGAAGCAGGCTCCGGCTCCCAACTGTGAGCACAGAGCCCGTCGCGGAGCTCGACCTCACCTCACCTCAGAGGCTGCGAGATCATGACCTGAGCCACCCGGGCGCCCCGCTGTGCCAAGCCGAAGCCCCAGGGAGTCACCTTCGACTCTGCTCCTTCCTCCCGCCCCTGCATCCAACCCATCGGAGGTCCTAGCGCTCACCTTCCAAATGTGCCCCACGTCTGACCACCCGTGCCCACTGTCCGGCCATCGTAAGTCTGAGCCGTCAAGCGGCCGCCTGACCCGCGCATTAGGCTACTTCCCGGCCTCCGGGGCGATCCCCCGAAGCACGACCAAGACAACGGCTTACACCGGAGCCCCCGGACGGCGGGGCGCGCTTGCAGGAGGCGCCCGCGCACAGCCGACGAGCGGGAACCCGCACCGGCACCAGGGACGGACCCAGCCGAGAAGGGGCGGCGTGCGGGGATGCCCGGGGCTGGAGCCGGGCGGGGACCCCCACCGCGGCGGCCCGGCCCCCTAATCCCCGCCCGCTCGTCGGCCCCGCCCCCCCCGCGCCCACATTCCGAGGACCCACCCGGACCCAGCCCGGCGCCCCGGCCCCCGCCCCCAAGGTGGCGGTCACGTGGCGTGCGACCCGGAGGCGGAACCCGCCTGCGCTGCGCCGACCTCGGCTCCCGGAGCGCGGGGGACCTGCCGGGCCTAAGGGACCGTGTGCGCCTCTCCCCCCGGCCCCGCCGCGCTCGGCCATGCGGCCCCCGCGCTCCCGCGCCGCGCCGCTCGCGCTCCTGGTCGCGCTGCTGGCCGCGCCCCCGGCCCTGGCCGAGGCCCCGCACCTGGTGCTCGTGGACGCGGCCCGAGCGCTGCGGCCCCTGCGGCCCTTCTGGAGGAGCACCGGCTTTTGGTGAGCGCTCCGCGCGGGGAAACTGAGGCCCGAGAGGCCGCTGTCGCCTGCATCCCGCCGCGCGCCTCTCCCAGGCCCGGGACGCGCTCCCCGCCCGCGATCTCCCTGGACCCCTTGTTGCATCGGAGGGACTCGGGCTCCCGCGCCCACGGCCGCCTCCTCCTTCCTCGTGGAGCCGTCCTGCAGTCAGACCGGGGTTTCCTCTGTCGGCCTGAGCCACGCGGTGTTTGCGTGCGCCCCGGGCTTTTCTGAGCGGGTACCCCGTGTGGTGGAGGCCTGCGGACGCTCGCTGATTTTGCCCGGTGGCCGCTGGGGGGCAGGCCAGGCTGCAGGAGGGGCTGCGGCGCAGGCCCCTCCCAAGGGGGCAGCCCCAGTGGAGTCGGACACGCCTGTAGGGGGCCTATCAACCCCCATCCCCCTCTCCGTGTCTGCCTATCTCCCCTCCCCCCGTGTCATTCTTATAACCAAGATCACCTGGCTGGTGGGACAAGGAACAGGGTATTGGGATGTGGTCCTCTCTCCTCAGGGAGCCCCCCATTTCCATACACATGAGCCTCTGTGGCATTCCTGGCGTTAGGGGCCATTTTATTACAACAGGGACAGTAAAATTCATCGGCGGGCACTCCAGGGTCCAGCTGCTGGGGACTGGTGTCCCGGGGCAATCTGCGGCCCTGGATTTGTAGCTGCAGGGGCTGTTCTGGCGCCCCGCCCCTGGGGACTAATGGCCCATTCCCCCTTGTTCTGTCCCCAGTCCCCCACTGCCTCACAGCCAGGCTGACCGGTATGACCTCAGCTGGGACCAGCAGCTCAACATGGCCTACGTGGGCGCTGTCCCCCATGGCGGCATCGAGCAGGTCCGGACCCACTGGCTGCTGGAGCTCATCACGGCCAGGTGAGTGACGGGGGCAGCTGGGCAGAGCCCCCTTACTGGAGACGAAGACCAAGGCCAAGAGGAGGCAGCGTCCGGGAGGACAGTGTGGTGCAGTGTGGGCTGTGATGGGGGGCAGAGCGGAGGGGGTGCCCTGACACCTCCTGGCAAAACGTCCTCCGTGGAGGAGGCCGCGCAGGGCCGTGGGGGATGCCGGGGCAGCCCCGAGTTTGGGCACAGCTGGCTTCCCACCGGACAGGACTTGGAGGCTCGGGGTCAGGTGGGTGTCCCACTGTGCCAGCTTTGTGGCTGGAGCCAGCCCCGGAGAGCGTGCGCCCACGCACCTGGTGCCCCGTGTCCTCAGGTCAGGCTTTGCAGGAGCGCCGCCCAAGGGCTGAGCGGAACTTGGGTCGATCACCCCACCTTTGGCCTTGCAAAGCTCAGCCTGGCCGAGGCGTGAGATGTAAGGAGCACTTGGGTGTGTGTTTGAAGGGCTCCCAGAGACACAGACCCTCCCGCTGTGGCCAGTGGGACTGGGGCCCGGCGGGCCAAGGGAGGCCTCGTGATTGCCTCGGGCCCTTGTTCAAACGAGACGGTGACAGCCAGCGTCAGACTGACCCTGCAGCACCGCGTACACACAGCACCAGGGCCCGGGGTGGCTGTGGTGGCTTGTTTCAAAGGCGTAGTTCCTGGATGTTCAAGTGTCCGAGTCCTTTGTGTGTTCCCTGGTTCTTCCAGGGCACAGCATCGGTCTCGGGGCGGGGG